CAAAGGGCATTACAGGCCCAGCCTCACAACTACCGAGTTTTCTGTGATGCTGGAATAGGAAAAGTTTCTCAGAAGGGTGTTGAGCAAAAACATAATGAAATGAAGACTGAGATCTCTGCTGTTATTATTGCAAGTTGTTGGTCTATGTATCTTTTTTCCATCAAAGAATAGTTCTGTGGTACCAATATTTGAACATGACTGTTTGCTTCAGATGGTTTTTATTTACAATAAAAGGAGTAACATTTAAGCAACAGAAATTGCTTAATGACAGAAATGAAATAAAGGGAAACTTCATTAGCCTGCATTCTTAAAATCATTGTATGGAACAACTGTAGCTGTATTGAATGCAACACCCCACTCCAGTTCATATTCTGGGGATTTCTCACATTGACAACAACAAACAACAACCATGTATTTATGGGTGGGGCCAACACTTGATTAAGGTCATTCTGGAGGAGTATAGCTTGGAAGCAAATATTCTAAATCAATAATTATGGGTAAAAAACTGGGGTGGATAAGTCTCTCTCCCTCTCTGTCTCTTTCTCATAATGAATGCCAGTTCTTAAAAGGCCAAGGTAACATATATAAGGTGAGGCAGATGGAACGAGATATGCAGCTTCACATGGTATGTGTGTCTGCACAGAACACATTAAACTGCATGATCCTCATGAATAAACAAAATTATTACTTCATCCCATGCTGTTCCTCTAGTTTTCAGTAGAGTTCTATGCAAAGTCTTCTGTTTACAAAAAGAAGCTGGTCATTAAATATGACTGTGTTACATTATTAGTAATACATATTTAAATTTTATGCAGAAAAAGATGCACAGTGGCATGCATATACATGCTTACCTAGTTACAAAACTAATTATCAACTTTTACAGAAATGGGTACTTAACTATACAGACTTCAATTATATACATGGACATAAACACGCATTATAAATAGTGAGCAAGTTGTGGTGTGTGTAGCATCCTTCTCAATCTATCAATGAATAATAATAATAAACTTTCCACACAAGAATCCAAGCTAATCCAACACATGAGCAGTAAACAAATGCATTTGACCTAGGCCAATATTGGATGCATATTTGATGCCAGCCAGACACAACTTGCATTTTATGAATAAGCAGTTTTCTACACCTAGGCAACAGACAGGGTGAGAATTTGTGAAAAGGACTTGGGGTTTTTTTTTGTTTTTTTTGTTTTTGGCTCCACTTGCATGAACAGTCTCAGCTGATTGCCTGGTTGTTAACATTGAACAAAATCAATTCCCTCTTGAAACAAACAGATTGAAACAAACAGACAGAGTAAACAACAAATGCCTTTGGATTTGCATTCCAGATCACACAAAAATGTGAAATCTGTCTGACAACATCTTGCTAGAGCTTCAAGATATGGGAGAAGGAGGAAGAGGAATTGAGAGAGAGAGAGAGAGAGAGAGAATTCAGGGACAGATCTTCCTTTCTTTCAGCAGTTAGTGGGGATAGAAAACACATGTGTTGAGTGTGCATTTTTGAAGCTTTTTTCCAAATCAGTTCATCAATTCGCTAATTATAGAAAGAGAGAGAGAGATTTCTAATGAGACATATTTTTCTCCTTTAAGATCAGTGTGGGGCTAAAGTCCAGAGTCAAAACAAAAAGGGAAAACAGTTTTATGAGTAAGGGGATGTTATTGTAGCTTTCTCTGGGCTCTTTAACTCCAGGGGGTGGAGGTGGGGGGAGAGACCCAACTGCTATTCAAGAACTATTCCAGGACTTGTGCATATTTTCACTGCTGTGTAGCAGTTTTAATAAAACATCTGTTCTTGCTTCTGCTGATGAGTTTACATAATTGTTTGCAGACCAATTTAACCAAAAAAAGTCCTACACATTTCCCTATGCTTGCTAGCAGGGAAAGGAGAGGAGGGAAATCCTCCTACTTTGATCAAACACATTCTAGAAATCATTACTCGTGTATATAAACATATACATATATTTTACAAAATTTCGTATCAGAAAGATAAGGAAATAACATGAGAACAAGAGGAATAGGTGAGCTGTTAGAACATATTCAGCTTGAGGTGTGTGCACATTTTTTAGTGTCTTCTTTCTTATCCAACCAAATGTTAAGACATATCCTATGTGAAGTTTCTTTGCGGCAGCTGTTTTCTCTTCCCTATAATTTGACCAGACTTTTAGGTCTTCTTTTCTGTTTAGAGAAGTAATAAAACACTTCACTTTCTTCCAGTCATTTGGAACTTGCACAGGTCTCTCCGAAACTGCTCTTTGGGACTTAAACAACCCCTCGCCCCACCTCCAAACCATTTACTCTTTTTATATCTGTAACTACATCATCTCAGAACTTTTCAAGATCTGAGATTAGGATAATCATAAAACCATAATTAAAAGGATACTTTCTGTGGGGGGCGGGGTCAAAGTTATGCTCCTTTCAACATACATTTAGTTAACGTAGTGGGTTTTGTAAAAAGTTATGCTGTATAAAATACCTACTTAATACTAGCTTGAAAAGTCCTTAGAGAATTCAAATTCTCATTTAAAAAAAAGAACAGGAGATCATTCATTGTATACATGCAAGTTAATTGTGCATAAAAACTCTTTAATAGATTGTTTTTAAAGCCTTCAGCCAGTGTAGTCACTTTTTAGAGTAATTCAGATTTATATTAACTTGTCTGCATTCTGTCTGCCTGTTTATCTGTCTGTCTGTCTCTGGACTTACCTATCTTCCTTCATGTATAGGAACATTAGCTCCATTGTTATGTATACCTCCAAGAGTGTGTGGATGTGTAGAGGAAGAGGGTTACGGTTTGATCCTTCTCTCTCACACACACACACCCCTTTTTTTCCCAGTGACTGTTTTTCTCTGTCTATAGATTTTTCTCCTCATACACAATGTGCTAAATATACATGAAAGGAGGGGGGATAAAAGCAAAAGGTTATTTTCAAAATGTGTATGCTTTAATCAATGTCTTCTATACTAGTCTGAGCAAGTTCGGATGCCAGCTTGTAAGACATGAACATGGAAATGGGCAGGAAACATCTGTGAAAATTCATAACAAGCTACGGGCTCTCTTGTTATGTTTCATGTTCCTGATTTTCTTTCTTTCTTTTTAAAGAAACTTTTGGCTTTTTTCCCCCCCATATTGACACTCAAGGAACGCTTAATGTTACCCCAGATGAATACTTCAGCCTGCTTTTTTGTCAGTGGTAGCCTCCTTTATGGTTTTATTACTACCATTGATTACTTTTGCTTTGTTGCACAGAGGAAAAAGATAATAAAATCCTTTGGCATCTGGGTTCCTGTTAGAGTAGGGGTGTGGGGGGATGTGTTCCCCCTTTCCTCCCTCTGTACTAAAACCTTTTAGAGATACTTCACCCAAAAGAGGGGTGTTAAAAGTGTTTATCTCTTCTGAGAAACCACACTGAGAAATACTCTGAGCTTTCCCAATAATAACCTGATTTCATTTTATAGGCCATTCCATGTAAATCCTGCTTGCAAAATCATTAGACAAAAAACACACCAAGACAGCCCCATCACGTACATTCAAACAAGGCTAAGATTTCTTAGCCCTAATTGGATTTTTAAATAATAACAAGTCAGTGGAATGATGAAGGAATCCTCCTATATTTACAGATCAGCAGGTATATTTTACATTTAAGGAAGAATTTATGGCACTGGATTGAAATTAAAATTAGATTAGCTGTCTTCATTTCAATTAGTGTGTCGGTGCAAACCCAGTAGATGAGTAGAATATAATCCACACTCTAATCTAACTAAATATTTCAAGGGGAAGTTTTCTAATCACCCACAGATATCTTAAGCCATAAATTTTTTCTTTCTCTCTTTCTCTCCCACCTCCACTTTTGCAAATGTAAACACAAGGTGCTCTTTCTGACAATCACCATTCCAAATAGAAAGGTAAAGCTGGGTAGGAAGGGGGGGTGTTGCAGATGTAAACATTGCCCTAACAGCCTCAAGCTCTGGAAATTTAGGAAACAAATATTCAAAAGGGGGGAAAGAACATACTCATATGCTAAAAAGGAAAGGCTTAAAATGGACTTTGAAGGGGGGGGAGAATTAAGAGCTGCAAAGTTCTGTATATTACAGAGTGCAGGAATCATGTAAAAAACACAAGATCTGTCCAACTGTCACCTTCCTTGCTTTTAAGATTATCTTATAAAGAACACAAGCACTTGATTCCACATTTATTGACCAACAGTAAATTAGTAGAGGGAAAGAGAATTTATGGTTTAATATTTTATGCACACTGAGATTTATGGCTATAATTTCTGAGCTACTTGGTTGTTAGATATTAGGCAAGCATTTTCAGAAGAATAACTATCTTGATTTCTTCTCTTCATGACTCTCTTTTTTTAAAAATTTAAAGCTCTATTTGGACTGTGATTTTTCTTTCCTTCTTTCTTCCTTACTTCTATCCTTTCATTCTCTCTTTTTCTTTCTTTCTTCCTTGCCCCTCCCTCGTCATCCCTCTCCCACCCCTCCCCGCCCCCCCCGAACCATACTTACTATTTTTCCCCTCTTCTTCTAAAAAACATCTTATATTTAGAATTTCGAGACTTACTTTCAATGCATACAGTACTTAGTTTCAACTGGGGAATCAACACAAGCAAAAGCAATTTTTCCGTGTCTTGACATCTAGCTTCCTATTGGCTCACCACGGGTCAGCTGACTTTGTCATTTTGTCTGTCCTGGAGTGGAGCCGTCCCTATAACAATCTAGTTCAGACTACAAACTGGAGACAGAAATAAATATTAAAGAAATCATACAAGCCAGGTATAGGGGGGAAGATATGAATTCCTATTTCACAAACCCGTCGTTATCTTGCCACCTCACCAGTGGTCAAGAGGTACTGCCCAACGTGGCGCTCAATTCCACCGCCTATGACCCTGTAAGGCATTTTTCAACTTATGGAGCAGCGGTTGCTCAAAACAGGATCTATTCATCTCCTTTTTATTCACCGCAAGATAATGTTGTGTTTAGCTCCAGTCGAGGACCCTATGATTACGGATCTAATGCCTTTTATCAAGAGAAAGACATGCTCTCTAGCTGCAGGCAAAATTCTATGGGACACAACACACAAACTTCCATTGCACAGGATTTTACAAGTGACCAAAACAGGAGCACATCCCAGGAACAGAAAACTAGCATTCAGATATATCCGTGGATGCAGCGCATGAACTCCCACAGTGGTAAGTTTTACAGCTTGCAGAGATAAATTAAATAAACTGAACCATCTTTACGACCGTCTCCCTAGCAGAACAGGCTCAGCTACTTTTTATGGCCCCATAAAAACAATAATATAGCTTCCTCACAGTTGCCGCTACAGGCCTTTTATTTGTTAAGTTGCTGGAAGCAAATATGGCTTGTTATGCTCTTTCTAATTAAAAGACTTTGAGAGTGTAAAATATCTATAATAAAGTGCAATCAGCTCTGATTCTCCTCCCCCCTCTTTGGAAGGGCTGGGGGTGGAAATGAGACGCAGAAAAAAAATACAAAAAGGGGAGTGTTGTATTTTTTAAAATATATATATTTATATATAATTTTAAAATGGAAATTCCTATGATAGGGAAGAAATGGGGATTTTGATGAAGGGAGAAAATGCAAAATGTCTCGTCCAATATCAGCTTGTGAGGCTAGGATTTATAAACTAGCTTCACTTTATAATGTATGGACGGGTTGTCTATTCCTAGTAATTAAAATAACATTGAAGTAAGAACTAATTAATTTTTTTTTGAGTTTGCAGAAATAATTAAAACAACACATTCTGAATCTTTGCAAATAAGATGGGAATGTGCTTTCAATTAGTCGACCCCCCCCCTTTTAATCCACCATGCCTCCATGTGTGTGCTGCAGGATTTTAATGGTTAGCGAGATTAAGGGACAGAATTAAATTGTGAGGGGGTTGGGGGGGTGACATGACAGAGCATGGAGGATGAGGCTGGGAAAGTCCTAGCTTGTGGAGGGGGATTACATTGGATATGTTCTTTATTAGTGATTGCATGCGTTCCTGAAATTTGTAGCTAATCGTTTTTAGTCTGTTTGGTTTCCGAATCTATAGGGGTCGGCTATGGAGCAGACCGGAGGCGGGGGCGACAGATCTACTCCCGTTACCAGACCCTGGAACTGGAGAAAGAGTTCCATTTCAACCGTTACTTGACACGAAGGAGGAGGATTGAGATTGCCAACGCTCTTTGCCTAACTGAACGGCAGATCAAGATCTGGTTCCAAAACAGGAGGATGAAATGGAAAAAAGAGAGCAACTTGAGTTCCACCCTGTCCGGGGGAGGTGGCGCTGGAGCAGCTGCTGATAGCTTGGGTGCAAAGGAGGAGAAAAGAGAAGAAACAGAGGAGGAAAAACCAAAGGAATGAACACTGACGGATCTGCTAGTGCTTTCTCTCCCCCCCTCCCTCCCATCATCACAACACACATGGCCCTTCTTTCTTCCCTCTGCCTTCTGCCCCTTAATTCCTCCCTCGCCCCACTCGATCCCTCAGTTCCTCCTTGTCCTCCTGTCCATTTTCAACCACCACTGGCACAATTTATACATTTGGTTACCTTTAAAGAGCGTGTGTGTGTGTGTGTGTGTGTGTGTGTGTGTGTGTGTGAGAGAGAGAGAGAGAGAGAGAGAGAGAGAGAAATATGGACAAGGAAGACTTCCCCTCCCCCACCTTCGAGTCTCCAGCACTTATGCACCCGGTATCATTACCAGGTTCCAAACGGTCTTTACTTTCTCCTCAAGGAACCTTCCATCTCCCGTACCTCCAGCCCCACCCACCGGCCCCTTTCCCCCCTTGCCTCCAAGCCCAGCTAGCCACCTTTGCATAAAAGACTGTATTGAATGCAACACACCCCCCCCACCCCAGCCTTTCCTTCTCCTCCCTGGAACGCAGAGCACCCAGCAGGATTGTGTTGGGATCAACCATTGTCAAAATGAACTCTATGCAGTTTGGCTTCCCAAATAATAACCATGATGGTGGTAACGGGATGGACAGTGGTTAAGTTGATGATGATGATGATGATGATGATGATGATGATGGAAATATGACCACTGAGTTGCCCATCCTTGAGAAAAATACTTTCCCTCCATGCCCCCTTTCCCTCACCTCCAAACTATGTCTACCTAAATATAGCATTTTCCAGAGTAAACTAATTAATTGTATTTAAACACTACCTGGGGTCATTATGCATACTGCAAACTGTGACAGTTCCTGTGTGAATATTTTTAGCTGTATTTGTGGTCTCTGTATTTATATTTATGTTTAGCACTGTAATGTTCAGACAGTATAAAGTGAATGGAATTCTATAGCTAGTAGGGCGGAAAAAAATTCTTGTGTTACACTCGCTAACATCATGTATAAAGATCACGTCCAGAGGACTATGGTTGAGTATTTAATAAAAACTGGATATTATTTTTAAAATTTATTGAATGGCTTCTGAAATTTAATGGGGAAGACCTCAAGTAAAAGAGTTTTTCACAAGACTCCATGGATTCTCTGTGTGTGGATGCTCCCCCCTCCACATGTGCTTGACTTCTTGGCCACATGTCTCCATCATCCTAACCACATTTACTCAGAAGTAAACAATGTTGTGGTGGAAAGGAATTTACTTCCAGTCTATTTTTTAGGATTGTTTTAAAATTTTACCTACAAAACACATACACATACACACACACACACACACACACACACACACGCAGACACACACGCACGCACACACTCACACCGGTGCTTCACTGTATCTCTTTTTTAAATTACTTACACACGCACGCACGCATGCACGCACACCGGTGCTTCACTGTATCTCTTTTTAAAATTACTATACTGTGTAAATTGCACAATATACATGTTTTCCTATCTTCTGGTCTTAAAACCTCCATCAGAGGATTTCCTTCCCTGATTGATGGAGTGAAGGGATTGTTTTAAAACAAATCCCTTCAGCTCTTTTTGAACATAAATTTCTTGGGAGCAGAATGTCTCAAATACCATTCCTCCCTAAATTTAGATAAAGAGTGGTAGATGGAAATTATTATTTTTTTATTCTTCATTTATTTTTATAAACAAACAAACAGACAATACACTGGTGTGTAATATGCACATAGTGTTCTATGCGGCGGGCAGGAATGGCATCAGGTTTAGCTCAGAGGCATCTTTGAAACACATGCAAATGTCTGGTATCTAGGTACAGATATTTCTTTTGGAGACTAAGCTGCACTTTAAATGCTTCGCCTCAAACCACCAAATTGCACTGGTGTAATAAAATGGCCAGGAGTATCCTCAGAAATCCCCAATTAGCTGATTTCTCAGCTCCTGGTGGCCTGTATTTGTTGGAGGGGTTTAAGAAGATTTCCCTTTTTTAATCTGTCACCAAAATTTAGAACATTATCTACAGAGATCATATAGAGATTTTAAAAATGTGATAGGAAGGAAAGTTGTATTTGAACCATTGCATTTAAATGCCTTCCTAGTCAGATTTTGCTAAGCATCCAAATAAATACCTAATTGATGCAAATATTATTTTTAAATTGTCAGTTCAATTAAAAGTCTAAAACCAGGGTTTTTTTAAGCCACAAAAACTCATCAGGAAGATTACATAGTGTGATTTGGTAAGAGGGAAAAGACCGTAAGGGCTCACACAAGTCCCACTAGTATAAAAAAATTATTGTATATAACAGTGCAAGCTTATGCCTGTCTACTCAGAAGTAAAATCCATTGAGTTCAATGAAGCTTACTCTCAGAGACCTTGTAGGATTGAAGCCTCAGTAAAGAAGGAATTGTAAGAGAGGAGAACGCTGATACATATCTTCTCCTGCATGAAAACTCCGGTTTTTTTAAAAGAGGCTTTTGACCTGCCCATACATATATATGTACGTACATACATTATTACATATATATATATACATATGCGCATACAAAGAATGGAAAACAAGGTTACTGTTTCTGTATTCACACAAGGAACAGAAATGATTTAGAGGAAGGCTGAGTTGATGCACAGCCTCCACTGGATACCCAGGCACCTTAATACTAGCTCGACTTTGAAACATATTGCCTTCGATATATACAGAGACATAAAGAAAGGACAGAAGATTTAATATAGCATAGGAATCCATCTGCTGCATATGCTTCAGCATAGAAAGCACTTTCATGTGATGTTAGACATGGATCCACCTCGGCAGTCCATGTAGGTAGGCATATGTAAGACACGGTCTAAGAATACACAGCAAAAAGTCTCGGGATTATTTATGGTCTGTCGCACGTTCCACGCAGGAGGCACTCAGGAGTTTCCGCCCAAGGGGTTTGGAATCCTGCACTTTGTCTCCAAGGTTTCCTTCCGGGCAAAGGCAATACTTATGGACTAGCCAAGGATGTGTAGTACCTGGCACTAAGCAAACGAACCCAACAGGCTTCTATGGTCTTCACACAGATACGCACAGCACACACATGTACAGCCTAACTCGAGTTCATCCAACAGTTCGAGTTACACCCAAGCAAACGATAACATGTCTAGGAATCTCTTTCACATCCTCCCACAATATCGAAAGAAAACAAATTCAGACAATCACCGCGGTCGGGAAATTGGTTCTTGACTTCCATTGCATGCAAGGGCTTTGGGGCATTTGTGCGCCTTGTTCCACACACATAAGCCTCCAGCGTTAGTGGAGGGGTAGTGTTTTTATGAGACGTCATACCCCAGACCCAGCACCAGGTGACGCTATAGTCTCATTGTCTCGGTGTTTAGAGTGTGGGGCCCCATTTTTTCCCTTTCTTCTTCTTCTTCTTCTGCTTTCTCGTGGTCGTGGTTTTTTTTTTTTTCTTTCGTTATGCCAACATATCACATACGTTTCACGGGCTTCCATCAATAACCTCCTGGGGTCATCAAGCCAAATTTATGACTGGCCAACACTGTCACGTGATTCTATTTAAACATCCCATATTTGGGCAGCGTAGATAGAATAAAGAAAAGAAGAATCTCCACCTATAAATTCTGCACTTTACAGAACAAAAAACCCTGAACTTCAAAAGGGCCACAAATCAAGCCTAATCAAAGGGGTGTGTAAGAGAGAGAGAGAGAGAGAGAGGGACTGAGAGAGACTTTGGGGGGGAGGGGAATATAATTCCTGACATGAGTTCCTACGTAGCCAACTCCTTCTATAAGCAAAATCAAAATGTTCCTGCGTATTCCATGCAAAGTTATGGGAATTATGGATCTGTGTCTGAGGTTCAGCCATCCAGGTATTGCTACAGTGGGTTGGATCTGAGCATTACATTCCCTTCATCTGGGGCTTCAAACTCTCTGAACGGTGTGGACATGTCTTCAACCCCCAGATCTAACCCCGACCGACCTTCCTGTACAGTCATGGGATCTTCAGGGCACATTTTAGGCAAAGACGACCAGACTTCTCTTAACCCAGGAATTTAAAGTCAGAAAACTGGTGGTAACAACAACAACAGCAGCACCACCATCCCCAACACGCCGTTGGAAGATAGATCTAAGAGCAGTGGGGAAATCAAGAGTGAGCCGGTGCAAGCAGCCCAGCAAAGCGGGCAGCCCATGCAGCCGCACCACCACCACCAACATCAGCAGCAGCAACAACAACAACAACATCAGCAACCACCACAAATATATCCGTGGATGACCAAACTACACATGAGCCACGGTAAACTTTCGCTTCTCGATTTTGTTTCACTGGATTTGCCTTGGTTTTTATAGGCCATGCGGGGCAAATAATAAGGGGGGGAAAAACCTGGGGTCGTAAATTTTACGACTAAGGCATCAATTGCTCGTAAAACTGTCCACTAAAAGGCTTAGAGGCTATATACGCCCAAATTTATGACGGCATAATTGGATCATAGAAACAAAACGGGTATAAAGGCAATATTCCATTTTTGGGGCGAGAGTGGGGGAGAAGGGAAAGGTTTTAAGGGGTGAAATAACTTTGGAAATGCGCACATTCTTTAATAGGAAGGAGAAGGGCTTATGGCTTTTTCCCCCTCCAGCCTTCCCACATCTTTCCCATAAAGTCATGACTTTTTCTCCTTCCTAACCTAGGAAACGGGCGACTGGATATAATTTCCCGTCCTATATATGTATATCTATATATATATATTTACACACACACACAAACACACACACACACTTTCCTAGGGTTTAAGTGAAAATCACTTCCTCGGTGACTAACCTTAGCTTGAACTCACTTGAATGAGAATGTGCTGGAAATTTGAGCCCACCTTAATTTTTTGATTTTTTTTAATTATTATTTTAAGTGTTCCTGGTAGAACGCAAAACCAAACAATACAAATATCTCGCTTTCTCTTCCTGTCGAATATTCTGTTCCTCCTTCCCCTCAGCTGACTCTTACTGTTTATTCTTCTAATTTGACTTTTTATTATCCGGTGTCCTTTTTGGTTTGTTTTCCAGAAGCAGATGGCAAGCGTTCCAGAACGAGCTACACTCGCTACCAAACTCTGGAACTCGAGAAAGAATTTCATTTTAACAGATACCTCACCCGTCGGAGGCGCATAGAGATTGCCAACAACTTATGTTTGAATGAGAGGCAAATCAAAATTTGGTTTCAAAACCGGAGAATGAAGTGGAAGAAAGATTCCAAATTGAAAAGCAAAGAGTCTCTCTAGGTAGAAAGAGGGGTTGGGGTTAGGGTCGGGGAAATCAGCTCACGTTGACCAGAGTTGTTGTCATGTCCTACCTTGAGAAAACTTTTCTTTGGGAGGTGGGGAGAGGGAAAGGCGGGGGGGGGAGGGCTACATATTTGACTGAACTACATACTTCTTGCAAACCTTCCAGACAAAGGCGTTCTCTTATTAGTATGCAAACAGACCCTGGTCTTTAGCTTCCAGTTCGCATTCAGAGTAAAACTCTCTAGAGTTTTCATTAGGCACCCATCCACCCGTTCGGGTCATCCCTTGAAATAGAGAGGAAATCGGTTGATCAGTATCAAAACCAACCCTAGAGAGCCGAGGGTGACATTTGAGACGCCCTTTGAAAATAAGAATACAGTAATTTTTTAAAAAGACAAGAAGCGCAAGAATCTTAAATCTGGGAAATAGAACCCAAGCCCACAATTATATCTACCAGAGATGAGTGAGCTCATTCTTTTGTTTGTTTGTTTGTTTGTTTGTTTCTAGGGGTGGGGGTAGGGGGGCTGATGAGTCCTAAGGCGCCGATCCTGCCTGCAGGAGGTGGAAGCCAATTCCACTGAAATACATAGGCTTTTGCTTATAAACCCAATGTGGCTGAAACTAGGCTTCAGGATGCACTTATTTCTAAGTCCCTTTAAAAGGCAAGGACGGCTTAACTTCCGTGTAAGTAAGTCCAGAGGACTGGACTGCATGATGTAGGTTCCAGAGAATGCGCCCTGTTGGCGGGGAGTGAAAGTTTCTACACGCGTAGAGGTTCCTAGATGCACTTAACCTAAAACGTTAGGAAATCTGCTTGATAGGAGATGCATTCTTCTGAAATAGGAGGGTTTCTTTCATTTTTCTTATTCTACTCCCTCCTCATTGACTTATTTTTGTATTATTTGCATATGAAAGAAAGTGAATGGACTATGAGTGAATCTGCTTTAGCATCTTTTCCTGGGAGATTATTTGTGCAAAACAATACGCACTGTATGGAAAATGAGCGGGAGAGAGGGGAGGGAAAGTGTGAATTCTCTTGACTTAAATATTCCTGTGTATTTATTTGTTGCGTAATAAATGTAGCTTTACAAATAATTATAATGCTGAATTCTAATACAAATGTACACCTTCTGTTTACTTGTAGTCCATTTTAGTCGGTCCCCCTCTTCCTTCTCCCTGATGTTGTATTGCATATATTTATTGGTTGTAATATCATATGTGAAAGACCATGGAACATATATATTTTGTCATATTGAATAAACACTAAATAATATTTCCACCATCTAGGCCAGTTTTCAAGTGCAAGATGGAGGGAGGAAAGTAAACTCTCTTGTGGTGCCTTTTCTTAAGTGTAACCCCATTCATGTTTCATGTATATGTGTTCCCCTCCATAAATTAGGACTTGGTTGTATTGTTTCAACAACAAGTATTTCAGTTACTAGCATAAAGTTTGTCTAACTTTAATGGAACTGTAGAACTAAAGTGGCGTCCTTCTGCATTTTATTGAGTTCAACTCATGAGTTTAATCCAGCCCGTGGTTAAATCTCTTTTACTGAAATGAAAGAGGTCTTGTAAATACAGTACAGTACTACACTTTGGGAAGAATGGTCTCCTAACTGCACTTCTAGTGGCCCCTTGGATTCAATAAGACTTTCACTTTTTTCCTAAAGCGCAAGTTGGAAGTAAGCACTATTGACCAGAGGAAACTATGTCAAGAGTTGAAGTAGAAATGGGTTTTAAAACTCTAGTACAGTCCATAGGGCTGGTCTTGAATGGCTGTCTTAGTCCTGCTGTGACCTAATAAAAGGACCTTGGATGGTGATGTTTCTTGTATTGCTGTTCTCTTCATCAGCTATCTAAAATGAAGGCCTTTTCTTTCTCAGAACTGTTAAGATGGTGTTTGACGTATTCATTTTTGCATTACTTAGCTTTGGGTTCTCCAGAAGTCCTTCAAAGATTTTACCTATGTTTTCTTTCCTGGCAATCTTCTGGTTTTCCCTCATTCCACATTTACAGTGGCTTAATAGTTCAGAGACATACAAGTAAGACAATTTATCTAAATAATCTTTTGCAGGCCTTTTAGATGCAGCTGCGCAGAATCACAGGGACCAGTTGCCTGCCCCTTCGTGTAACTTTCAATTGATTTTTAGTTAAACTTGTGCAAGAAGGACTTGGGCATCTTGTGAAGGTAACTGACAATAGGTAGGTAGGTAGGTAGGTAGGTAGGTAGGTAGGTAGGTAGGTAGGTAGGTAGGTAGGTAGGTAGGTAGGTAGGTAGGTAGGTAGGTAGGTAGGTAGGTAGGTAAGTGTGCATGTGTGCTAGAGATCATTTGGTCTGGAGGGAGAATGGTAGGATTAGGTTGGACTCAGGGAGCCTTTAACCTGGATGGTTGATCAAGTAGGGTTTGAGTTTTCTGTGTTTTAGGTGTGTGATATATGAAAGATAAAAGGCATCTAACTTTCCTAAAGTCCTGCATATATTTCTCCATACCTTAAGAGACTTTCCTCTTCTGCCCATCTTGATGGCTTTTGTTTTTGTTGCAGTTGTTTTGGGAATGTTATTCATGTCGCGGTCCTTTACTTAGAAGTCTGACCTGAATGGGATTAGATGTGTGCAACTCTACAGAGATTTGGGAGGAAGCTCGCATGTATGTTTCCTATGATTATTTTTGTCAATTTTGTTTGAGTATGAACAGTGTCTGTCTGTCTGTCTGTCTGTCTGTCTGTCTCTCTCTCTCTCTCTCTCTCTCTCTCACACACACACACACACACACACCCCAATCTTCAGAGCTATTTGCAGTACAAACAAATGCTTAGGAAGTGAAGAGGGGACTCCAATGGCTCAATAAACCTTTATAGTATTTCCTTTACACATTTCAAACAATGGAGCAATTTCCTGAATCTGGAAACAAAAGTTACTTCTAATGATGGTGGAAGCTTTTAAGGTTACTGAACTACCGCATCCTCCCCTGACTCTCCACTCTAAAACACTATATTGCTGTTCTGGTAGTTTATTGATATACTCTTGCATCATCATCATCATCATCATCATCATCATCATCATCATCATCATCATCATCATCATCATCATTATTATTATTATTATTATTATT